ATTTCCCAGTGTTTTTTTTTGTGTTGTTTTTTTTTTTTTTTTAACCATCCTTTTAAAATAGCATTATTATAACAAAAAACTAATGGTTTCTAAAACAGTATTTTGATAACACATGGTATCTATTCTTGGTTTGCGGTGATTTGTCACAAATACACTCAGTATAAATTAGAAGAAGCTAGATAAAAAATTTCTGTGCAACGCTGAATGTTTTCCGTTGGGCTGATTTTTTCCTAATTGTTCATCTGTGTTATACTGACTGAATGTGTATGGCAACCTGTGCACAAAAGATGTTTGCATTCTCCTGGTAACTGAAGCTTATGTATATGGAATTAGTAAAACTGAGCATTTCAGTTCATAGGACTGCTTCTTTCAAGTGCTATGTGGATACTTAGCACTAAATATAATACATTTGCAAATGTGTAATAAGCACTAGAGAGTGTTATCTGAATGCTAGAGATTTTGACAACTTACCTCTTGTGAAGAATCAATTTTCTAGTGGTTTCCTTTAGTTATTTTTCTCAAATGTCTTATTTTTAAATGAAGTAGTTTTTTAAAGCCTTTCCTTGCAGAGAAAATGGAAATCAAAATGGAATATAACCAGTTAAAACAAAACTACTGTTGAATTTTCTAATTAAACCTGATAGTTGATGATAGGGATATATATTGAAAGCTGAAGCAGTATATTGCATATTTCTGACAAAGGAATAGTGTTGCTTGTTGACAGTAAAATAGCACCCTTTCCATTTCTTGCTTTTCTTAGAAAAAAAAAAATTATAGTAAACACTATTAAGGAGATCATGTGTGAAACAGAAGTATGAATATATATGTGAACCTTTGAGTATATGTTATTTAGATTCCATTTTTTCTTGCTTAAGGATTATAAATATCTGTGATTTAAATCTTGTGACAAAATTCTAGTTTAACTAGCCTCCCAGTTTCAACTAATGATAATGGTAACAAGACTTTATTTGATTATAACTCTTTCATTGCTCTTGTTACAACCAGTGTTATCTTTTTCTTTTTAATGTATTTTTTTATGTATAACTTGAGTTACACCACTTTTACAGTATTTTTCTTTAGATTTTCCTAGATTTTAGAGCCCTTATTTACATAAAAGAATAATAATATTTTGTGTCTTTATAATAAAATGGTGATCAAAAAGAATTCCCAGTGCTGGGAAGTACTTGAGTGCACCTTTTACAAGTGGAAAAACACTGTATTGTATTTATGGAAGCTCTGTTGCTTAGTAGTCCAAGAACACACACACACATATATATACATATATATGTATATATATATACACATATATATATATTCTATTTCAAATTACAGCAAAACTATTTCTTAGTACGCATTGTGAAATAAATCACATGGTATCCAACTGTGGCCAAATTTATTTTGAATGTTTCTAGAGTGCTTTTTTCTTTTTTCCCCCTTTCCCTTGTCTTTTATGAAGAAGATAATGAATTCTTCATTACAAGTGCATTTACAGACATTTCAAATCATTAATATTTTATTTCATTTCGTTAGAGAACAATCCCTCAGACTTTTCTATTTTTTCCTTTCAATTATTTTTGTGTTGATATTCTTGAATGTTATTTTCCATGTTCAATTTCACACATCAAAAATAATTTAAACTAGAGGTAAGAATAATTTGGATGACAATAAATGTTTTTAAAATGCAGTTATTTACTCTCACTTTGATTGCTCTCATTTCAGGACAATCATCCTTGATAGAAAGTCATGATAGAATCCCTTTCTTATAGCCTAAATGAATTCAGAGTAGACACATTTTCTTTAACAAGTGTCTCTGCATGAGGATTTATTTAAGAATCTTTCTTGGAGAAAATGTGTGCATTTGACAGTACTTATTCAATGGCTTTTACTTCAAGCATTTCAAGCAGTAATAATGGTGTTATGGGGAAGGTGATTTTTGTTTATTTGTTATTGGTGGTTTTTTTAATTAATTGAAGCCTGTCCACTTGAAAGAGTATGTTTATTCATAAATCTAAGTTGCAATTGCTTAGATTTTAAAGGATATTTTTAAACATTATGCAAACAATTCTAACCAACTCACTTTATGGTGTAGTAAATTTCGGGGAGTCATGTTTTCAGGAACAAAGGATAACATTAAATTTAGAACAAGACTAAATTAGTATAAAATAGTTGCTTGTCTTTGCAAATCACTTGGCTTAAATATTTTATTTTTAATGGTTTATAATTGTCCTTATGAAAGATTTTGGTAGAAGTGATAATTTGACAGAAAGCTATGATGATCGTATGTTTAGTGCTTTATGTTTTCCTGGGTATACCTGACAATCAATTTTACAATATTTGTCTTTATGTAAATTCAACCTTGAAGAAATAAAGCGTATTTTTATGTGGAAATGTTCAGATAAAACAAAAAAACAAAGAAACAATTATGTTCAGTATTTAAAATGTACATTAAACATTGCAGAGATGGACCTGAGGAAACTTTGGGGTAATATATAAAAGAGCTATCACATGTGGTGCTTCTGACAAGAAATGAACACTGAATCCTATCAAAGCTAAGTGAGGAACTGTATTAAATTGCAAGTAAAATCTATGAAGACAAATATATATATTTTTTTCTGGGCAGTGTAAGACTCTAAAAGGAACATCGAGAGCCACTAATTGAGGGCATAACATAAGAATTCCAACAATATTAGGCGGGTATTGTGGTAAATCATTGGTGAAACTTCTCATCAAAAGTTTTTCCATAACAAAATATTGTAATTATTTAATAGTAAAATAGTATCATAAGGACTATTGTAGTCCTCATCCAATGACGTCAGAGAAAGAATAATAAAAGAAGACGAGATTGGAACCCTTAATTGTTGCAATACATATATATGTATTTAATGAAGTGTAAAAATACAGAAATCAGGGTTTGTTGTAATGATGTTCTAGGAAAATATGCAAGAATGTATGGATGAGCTGCGTGTCTCAGTGAAGGAAATCTGTCTGTCCTTACAGGATAAAGAAGACATAACAGCATGCACTGATGATTATACTACTTCTCTGATATCATACACATTTAAATTCTTCGTGCAATACAGTGTTGCATGGAATGAGAGATAGAAGCAAAACTTCTGTTTAGTAGATTGATTTCAAATAGACTATGGGACGTGTGACTGTAAATATCTGAGCAATTCAGAGAACAGACGTCTAGGGTCTCTGTATATGAACATTCCAAGCTATCTAGGAACTTAATATTGTTCTGTTTGAGGCGGACATATCTGAGATTTTTTACATCTTCAGGTATAAATGTTTGAATTTAAAGTTTGCGTAAATAATTGTATTCAATATTTCAATTTAATATTGGATAATATGTTTGAAGGAATTCCAGACGTTTTGAGAACTTCAAAACCACTGAACTGAACAGTTGATGTAGACAAATTTTAATTGTCAGAATTTAATTTATTAGATGATGAATGTTCTTTCTATAGCAGAGTTCCCCAGGTAGCTGTTTTCTTTGCCTTCTTTATATCTGTGTGTAATTAAGGTTATCTTTTTCTTTTAGCAACACAGTCCAAGCTCTTAGATAATCTACTGTGGCACTTAATTATGCCCATCATTATGAAGTTCCTCCTTATATCTGACCTGAATTTCTCTTGTTAAGATTTAAGGCCATTAGCAATTGTTCCATCTACAGAAAATAACTTCTCATATTCCAGTTTGCAACCACTTTGTATGTGTTGAATACTTTGATTACTCCCCAATGAATCCAATATTCCTTAAGAGGAGCGAAAAATTCAACAGAAACAAACATCTTCTGAAGAAATTTCTTCTGACAGTAAACGGTCTCCTTGCTTTCTTTGCATTCTGAGTAAAATCCTGCATACCAGCATTCTGGTTTTATATAGACAAAAAAGCTTAAATCATGGGTCACTTCAAGATACAGGTTTACATTGGAAATGCTGACAGATCCTTAGTAAAGCTGTCACATGCCTGTGGAATGAAGTGCCTTTAACCCCACTGAATGCTGATGTGGAGATTTAGGGCTCTATTAAGTTATTCTGGAGAGTTCATCTGAAACTTGTATTTGGTGCAGTAATTGCATCTACTGCCATTTTTCCTACCTTTCTTTGTTCTTATTTTTTATTTTTGTTTAAAATGAGAAAAACCTTTCTAATGCACAAGTACAGACTAAGTAATATATTGAACCTTTCACATACAACTTGAAGATTTGTAGTAAACCCAACCATTTATTTGGTTTATATTTTCCTTCAGCTTTGTATTTGAGATTACCCTAAATAAGATTACCCTAAATAAGGAGATGTTAAAGCCTTGCATTTTCCTAAATATTTCTTCCTATAATTATGAATATTCTGATGATTATTTTAAGTTATTTACTGCCCTATTTCCACATCACTTTATGAGGAGAAGTCATATCATAGTCTAAATTATAAACATATATGAAAATAAACTTTTAAAGAAATTAAATTCAGTTTTCATGGAACATATGCCATATAATTGACTTTCTGAGTTAACTTTTTGTCTGTTTTTGCCACAGTATTAAAAATGGAAGCATATAAGCTGAAGCAGTAGGGCAGACTTTTTTTTCTCTCTTTGTGTGTTTTCTATGCTTCATCTATGAAACCACTGAGAAAACAGTTAAGAGCTCATATCAAGAGAAATGTAAAAACTGATTCTTAAAGCATTTGATTGATTTGGGATTTGAATTAAAGTTTTATTCTTGTTCAGTTGTTAAATCACATTTTTATTGTGTTATGAGAGGCTTACTGTATTCGTTCAAACAATGCATTTATTATTAATGCATTATGTAACTTGTTAATGAGACTTATAGGCAAAAGTTAAGAGAATTCTACTTTTCATTTATATGGAGGGTAATCATTATAGTATATTATTTTACAGGGAGGGTAATCATTATAGTATAATAATTTAGATAAGAAAGAATAAAAAAGGAAGATATGGGGGGGCATTCAATATTTGTTCTGTCTTTTCAAATTTTACAGGAAGAGCCATATGTAATGTTCAAGAAGTCAGATAAACCTTTGTATGGAAATGATCGGTTTGAAGGTTATTGCATTGACCTTCTCAGGGAGCTGTCTACTATCCTTGGATTTTCCTATGAGATTAGACTGGTGGAGGATGGAAAATATGGAGCCCAGGAGGATGCCAGTGGACAGTGGAATGGAATGGTTCGTGAATTAATTGATCATGTAAGTTAATTTTTTAGGCTTTCCACTATCCATTTAGATTTCAATATTATCTGTGCAAATTATAAAACATTGTACAGTAGGACCATTTGAATAGTAGTGCCTTGGAGAAAGTTTAAAAGATTAATGCAAGTAGATCCATGATTTTTCTCCTCCAAATTCTGTTTGTTAAACCAAGACTGTTCTACATCTTTATTTTATCAACAGTGTTTTATTTCTGCCAAGTGAGTTTTGCTCTTCCATGGCATATTTCCAAATAGTAGTCAGAACTCCTTTTGGTGAACAAATATCTGTTATTTTTATTTGTTTTTTATTAGTGACATAATATATATTTTCATTAATCCATAGTAGTCAGATCTCTGATAGTGGATCTGAGACACATAAATTATTTGATAAACACAGAAGAGCATATTTCTTGAAACTTCGGCAATTAAGTGCAAACAGTAAGATAGCAACATATACTGATGCAGTAAAGTAGTGAAATGTGTTTTAAAACAGGTGCCACTACAATTACTTATATCAGACATTAGTTTGTGTCCTTTCAATGTTGGTCATGCCAGTTGAATTCAGCTTTTTAGACTCATTTTAGATTGTAAATTTTTTGAGAATTATGCTGTTTTGCCTTTTAGCATTTATCTGAGTGAATTACTTAATAGAGAGACATTTGATCAAAGAATTTAAGATAATACATGTTCTGCACATCAGTGTCACTCTAAATAGGTAAAATGGGAGATTATTTTATTGCTAATTCAAGTGAAACTTCCTAATGATGGCAGAAAGTGCATGGATAACTTGAAGATTAATTTTCACTAATCGTTTACTTAAGATTTCAGCGTATGAGCAGAACGTGTGCTAATCAAAATATTCTGTTTACTAAGAGGGCTTTCATCTTTCTACTTTACTTTTCTAGTAAATAATGATCTGGTAATTCTGTTGCAGCAGATGTTGATTATGTCTAGTTTCTAACTTTTAATATAAGTGTGTGAGAATATTATATTATCTTTAAATATGTGTATGTACTGTACCTCATGTACATGCATATAAACAGATATTTTGCTTGACTCTTTCCATCTCTATAAATGCACAAATTCACACATGCACAATGCATAGGCATACATAGTTGTTAGATTTGGTGGCTGTTAGATATTATCATCCGAAATAATTTTCTAGTGATTAGAAAAAATATTTCTTACGTAATTCTTTAGAGGCTCAGAAAAAAACTTATTTTGTAGTGAGTTATTATTCATCCCTAAAGCTTTCTTCAACAAGCACTGGCGGAGCCTCCTAAACTTTTGTGAAGGTAATCTGAAAATGAAGCACTTTTAAGGATGTTGCAAGAGTGAGAGCTGCAGAACAGCTTTTCCAGTCCTTTCCTCTTGATAGCATAGAATGGAATGTGTTCATCTTTCTCCTTGCATAAAATTAAACTTTGATTAAAGTGTATTTTGCCCTTTCAAATGCTGCTTACGTATGAATAAAAACAGTTTAGATAAAATACTAAGTGCATTTTGGAAGATATAGTTTAACCTCCTGTATCATACCAAGATTAGGGTGTTGAGACATACTATGTATTACACTCCCACGCTATGCTGAACAAAAAACTCTTCAATTTCTAACTTTTTTTGGTCTTTGGGTGAATAGGTATTATATTGCAAATTTTCTTACATTTTTAACTAAAAATTTTAACTTTTTTTTTTTTTAATTAAGAAAAAATCAGTTTAATAATTTTAAATATTTTTACTAGTATGTCTCTAGACTGGACTTCCAATAGTTTCTTGATTTCCCAATAGTTAGAATATTCCTTCTAAATTTTATATATTTTTATTTGTTCTTATCCTGCAATTTATTTGAAATACATGCATTATATTACTCATACATTTCTATCATTTCTGCTCATCATTGCATATTATTGATATGTTTTATTAGTAAACAACACCTCTAACCTGAGTACTGATAGATAAGAATTTAGAGTATTCTAGATAGACAGTTACCACATTTTATGATTCAATTTTTTTGAGTCCTTTGCACATCAGCTTAGTTTTCATTTTCTATTCCTGTACAGAATATTTAATGAAGTGTCAAAAGCATTCTTTTATACAAAGTGAGATAATGAACTGATTTTTATTTAATTTTGATTAGTTTAAATACTTATCATATTTCATTAAAATGATTCAACATACATTTTTTAACCTGTCTAATTAAATAAAAAGACGAGAAAGTAAAGATGCAGTTATCAAAGTTGCAGCGTCTACGTGCATTTACAAAATATGTTTAGAATTTATTTTTTACCTATTTGTTATATTTGAACCGTCAGTCAGTTAATATTAGAAAGAATGGATAGCATGCCATAGTAAATATATTTACAAAGGTAGTTTGTAAAATTTGTAACTCAAGAAAAAAAATTATGTGTGTAGGAAGGAAGATTCAAAATTTATTAGATAAACAGTACCAAAAATAATCTATGTGTACTCAAAAATTTAAGTGAAATGAACTGAGCTCAGCATATCATGTAAGTCTTAGGCTTGAAATTATGTAGCGTGAACAGAGAAATGAAGGAAGCATTTGGCTTTTTATGTTTTCAATCCATTTCCCTATGTTTTACTCCATTTCTTCTTTCTTTTGCTGCTACATATGTTGTTTTCAAATGACATCATTCTGATATTAGTTTCCAAACAATGACTAGTTTATTTCTGAATAAATGGTAAATATTTTGAAAGTGAAAAATGAGTTCAGTAATCACTGATGTGTTCCCTTTGACAATTGAAGGAAAATGAATTCTTTCTGGAAAAGACAGTGGTATCTATAGCTGCAAATGGTAAAGAAATACCAACTACAATAACAAGATGAGATTTTTCATTTTAAATGGAATTTCTCCAATTAGGGTGCCTAATCTATTTGCCACAATGAGGATTCTTACTCTTTTTTTTTTTTTTTTTTTTTTTTTCCCCCCCCTCCATATTTTCATCTGGTTAATTTAATATGAAGATTTGAGATATTCAGGGCAAATGGGTGGGGAAAACTAAAATCCAGGTATCTCCATCCTTTATGGATGCATACTTCATAAAGAAGTATTCTTTGTAGTGACTTGATGTCTTTGTCCTTATTTGCATTCAAATTAGAATAGACTTCTTGAATTACTTTTGGATTGGAGGTTATGAATTCTGGAGATTTTAAGTTTGTCTGTGGTGCTGAAAAATTGTTATGAGGTGTATCATATTACATGAGATAGTATGTGTAAACTATTTTTTACTGTAGACAGCAGATACTGCTAGAGTAAAAGTATGTAATTTTACTTCTATTATACAGTCTGTTTTATAAATCCAGAATTATTTCAAAACATTCTTATAATTGGGTTCTAAAACAAATAAATAACTGCTATGTTATACTTTCTAAGAGATATAAATGAAAGTTAAAATCCGCTGGGAAGTAAAATGTTACTATAACACCACTGAAAATAATCTTTCTTTTTTCCATGACTGTTAGAATGGTTCTTCTACAGTGCAAAGCTTTTGCATTGCAAATTGTCTTTAAGGCTTGCAGATCTTTTTTGATTCATAAATAGTTACATAAAAGGTCCAGCTTTTAAAGAATGACTACTGTTTTATTATATGTAAGAATTTAATGGGAACTTCCTTTCATTTCATAGAAGAGTAGAATTTTCAGCATGGAAGAAGGTAAGATTTATGCAGTTGGGCAAAGCACTACTTAATTTGAATTAGCTTCAGACATAGACTTGAACTTCAGTATCATTTGTATTTTTTAAAATCAGTACCTTACATAGTAATAAATGTTTACATGTGAAATGGTTACAATTATAAAATTAGTAGCAGTGACAAACACACTAGTGGCCTTCTGTTTTCTCAATAACAAAATACTTTCTGATATTTATGTAACAGGTTTAAAATACTCCTGGAGACATCTTCTGACAATAGCTTTTTATTTTGCTACTTTTTCCATCTGATTTCAAGTACTTATGTTTTTGAAGGATAGATCCAAACCCTTTTTATTACTATATGAAAGTTAATAAGAGCTTCAAATACACAACTATACTGATTTTTTTGGTCGATTTTCATCTTTTTAAGATGAAGAAAAATCTATGTGAGTCAAGGAATTTAAGTTTCTTCCATTTCTTTTCTTCCTTCCCTTCCATAATTCAATTTCATCACATTGGAGCATACTACTTCTCTTCACGTTCACAACAATCTCTGCCTAATAGAGCTTTGTTGGGAACGATTAAGGAGTTCTGTTGCCTCTTCTTCCTAATGATAGATGCAGTCTTCCTCCTTATAATTTTCATGCAAAAGATCTAGCAGACTTTCAGTACAATGCATGATGGTTTAGTCATTTATCTTCCTTCATTCATGAAAATCTCTTAAGTTTTGACAATATATTAAGAGGTTGCAGGAGAAAGAAAGACTGAGCATTTTGCCTTTTTACACCAACACTGTATGTTCTGGAAAATAAAGCCTGATTTACTGCTAGTGCTCTTAGTACACCGTACCTACTTTTCAGCTTCATCATTTTATCAATGAACATACCGTACCTTGAGGCATTTCCAAAGCTATCTCTAACACTTAATCCCTGCTCTGTGAATTATCTTCAATTTTTTTTATGAATGATTCTCCTAATTAATGTACGGACACTTAAGCATATGCTCCTACTTATTGAATGCTTTTATTAAACCATTTTCAAAATATTTCCCCACAGAGGATCACTGGATTAAATGTCTTCATTCAATTATTTTATGTTATTTTTGTCAAATGAAATGCTACATTACTTCTTCCTTCCTGCATTTCTTCGAACAATTTAGTTACTTTTTCCACAATATGCCCTGGATTTTCTCTAGATAATGTTCTGCTAGCTTTCATCATCTTGTTCAAATAATGAGAATATTTCACAAGACAATCTAGTTATTACTGCAGAGGTAGGATATGAGCAGTGACTTTGAAAAGTGGTTTTGCCTAAACTACCTGATGTTGGAAAATTCAGGTCTGTGCACAATT